TATATATATATATATATATATATATATATATATATATATATATATATATAATCTATCTATATATACATATATATATATATATACAGGCATATGCCTGCTCATAGTGGTGGCAGGTCATCGTTAAATGAAATGGCGCCACTGTGTCTCTATTTCTACTTAACCTTTTCAAAAACAGCTAAACTTTTTTTCTTACCTTACATACCATATCCGTTTCCGCAATACCTTCCATCTTTGGGGGTACGGGGTGGAGTCGAAGCCGTAAGAACGGATAATGGCCTGGGATGGTGGTTGTGGGACAAAGGCGGAGACGAGGAGAAGGTAAACTAAGCCTTAGGTCTTTTACATATCCCAACACGCATTTCTTAGGCTAGGACCCCATTTTTTCTCTCCTTCACCGTTCTCTCTTTCTCTTTCTGTCTTTTAATCTGTCTGTCTGTTTCTCAATCTGTCTCTCAATACACGCACACACACACACAGAAATATATATATATATATATATGTTTTTACTTATTTATTAAAATGGAGCATCTACTCAAATAAGGGTATCCATTAAAAATAACGTTTAAGCAATAAAATTAAAATGTCCGATTAATAAATGAAAATTCATTCCTCTCTCTCTCTCACTCTCTCTCTCTATCTATCTATATATATATATAGTTATATACAATTTATTCGAAAATTTTAACATAAATATGTTATTTATGTTATCGAATAAATAATTATATTTGCTCTACTCTGTATTGAGCACTCTTTTAAGAATATTATTTGTTGGTTATTGGAATTTATTCCGTATACACCAATCCTATACTTGGGTATATATATATATATATATATATATATATATATATATATATAAAGTGCACAGGTATGTAGAAAATAGAAAAGAACACGTTGGGTGCATAATCCGTTCCTTAAATATATATATATATATATATATGTGTGTGTGTGCGTGTGTATATATATATATATATACCTATATATATATATATATATATATATATATATATATATATATGTGTGTGTGTGTGTGTGTGTGTATCAAATTGCAAGTGACTAACGTTTCGGAAGTGAATTTGTGCATTAAGACCGTTCCAGATATTTTATGGCATGTCCCTTACGGGCGTGAGAAATCATTGCTCTCCGCGGTTTCCTCTGCTTTACTATCTGTGAATTTTCAGAAACCCTTGGGAAAGATGGTGCAGTAGTTTCCTGTTGCCTTCTCCATGTTTTGAAATTCAGGTTCTTCCTACTTCTAGAATGGCTGCCAACCAAATATTAAGGGCTCAATTTAAGGGCTTAACCTATAGACGAATGGTTAAAAGAGACGGATCCATGCCTTTCACAATGACATTAAAGCGAAAGTGAACAAAGACTAGAATGAAATTTGAAGTCGGCTCTCCGGTTCCACTTTTGGAGTCAGTAACTGTTACGAAACCAGCATATTCCTTGTAAAAAATAACATACAGATTTGTATTAAGACATTTAAGTATACAGTCAAAGAAAAGCGTGATAACAATACAATAGAATCTCTCATATGCAGAGTGCCTCATATCCGAAATCCCGCATATCCAAACATGATTTTGATGCGTATATTTGGGTGATATGTAACTGATTTGAAATTTCTGTTTTTCAGGAAATTTACTTTGGATAATTGCTTATGCTTATTTCACCCTAATGGCTTGTATTGGTGCAAAAAGATGATGGGAATAAGAGGAAAAGAACAACTTTGGAGTTATCTCGAAAAGTGGAAAGTTTAAACAGGCTAGACGCTCGTGAAAGTTCATTGTAACTAATGGCTGAGTTCAACATAGGAAAGTCAACATTGTATGATATAAAATCTTCCAAAGAAACTATTTTCCAGCGTTTACACTGTCACAATGAACAAGGAAATAAAAAACAAGATTGTGATGAAACCTGGAATGAAATTGAAAAAGCTATTGAAAAGGTTGTCAGTTTTATGGAAATAAATCCAGCATTCAACTATGACGATAGCAATAACACAGCAGAGTTAAAAATTGTCTTTCGTTTAAAAAAAATCAAGAACAAAAACAAAACGAAATGCGGGAAAATTTGAGAATGACATTAGAAGAGAAAGAATCATCATGCAACAGCGATTAAAAAATCCTCGTTCCATTATTTGTTTTGCATACGTGGCGTAATTAGTTTAATGAATTTTCATTAACATTACATAATTTACTTCTTTTTCCTTAAAATCAATTCCGTTATATTTCACTCACCATTAGCTTATTTTGTTTACTATAAAACATGGAAAATAAATGTTAAACCTGATTTCAGTTCTTTTATTTTAATCTAAATATAACCCCTCATATCCGGACTTTGTAACCAATTCCTCATATCCGGACTTTGTAACCAATTTCTCATATCCGGACTTTGTAACCAATTCCTCATATCCGGATGGCCTTGTTAGTCTGGTTGACAGGGATTCTACCGTATAATCCCTCATATCCGGACTTTGTAACCAATTCCTCATATCCGGACTTTGTAATCAATTCCTCATATCCAGACTTTGTAACCAATTCCTCATATCCAGAAGGCCTTCTTAGTCCGGTTGTCAGGGAAGAAATTTCTTTGTTATTTTCGAATTAAGCATGTAAATTTACACCTAAATATAACTTTTCAGAAGCATTTTTATTAGATATTTAGCACAGGGTTTAAAAGCAAATTCTCCGAATTTTTCTGTCATTCGTAAATAAATAGAAGACATTAAAAACATTTTACACTGTGAAATCAATGAAAAATTATACTTATTAAAGAATTTATCACAAAGTTAATGTCAAAATTTAAAATCAATAAATTTAATATTTTACAACTATTAAAAAAAACACACAAAAGTAATGACATTATTGGCCTGTTAATATCGTCTTTCTCTTTTCTGATATTTATTTCGATTATTCTGTGTTTGGTTTATCAAGGCAGTTGTCTTTAATGTTGTCTTTAATGTTGTCTTTAATGCCTTTAATGTTATCTTTAATGCGTTTAATGTAGTTTTTAATGCCTTTAATGTTGTCTTTAATGCCATTAATGTTGCCTTTAATGTAATCTTTAATGCCTTTAATGATGTCTTTAATGCCATTAATGTTACCTTTAATGTTCTTTAATGCCTTTAATGTTGTCGTTAATGTTGTCTTTAATGCTTTTAATGTTGTCTTTAATGCCTTTAATGTTGTCTGTAATGTTGTCTTTAATGCCATTAATGTTGCCTTTAATGCCTTTAATGCTGTCTTTAATGTTGTCTTTTTTAACCTTTAATGTTGTCTTTAATGCCTTTAATGCTGTCTTTAATGTTGTCTTTTTAACCTTTAATGTTGTCTTTAATGCCTTTAATGTTGTTTTTAATGCCTTTATCCCTCATTCTCGTTTATACTGAACTTGGGCAGGACAAAATGCATAGCTACCATTACAACCTGTTACACAGCACTTTTTTTTACCATTTTGAGACAGATTTAGGGGTACTGAAATTAAAAAATATTAACTTGAACTATTATTTTTCAAAAATTACATAGTGCTTCTAAAATGCGTATGAACCTTATATTCTACGGCCTAGAGAGTTCAGGATTCAGAATTAAGAATTTTAAAGTTAGTATGTGATATTCGCAAAAAATGTCATTATTATAAATTTTCTCTCAGAAAATTAATTTAATTTTTTCTTTAAGCTATTATTCTTCACAATAACGAATATTTTGATTATAAAATTATTTTTAAGGAATAATTTGTTTTCTTTATAACACATGAAGTATGTTGATATCATCCTTGTAAAAAAGCAAAAGAAAGAAAAAGAATGCAACTTTTATACACTGCTAATTTTCCCTATTTACTATACAGTAATTTGCGCATTTGAAAAAAAAAAAAAAATGAATAAAAATTTAATTTAATATTTTCCATCAAATTTTTAATGCCGTTTTTGAAATATTCAGGATTTATCACACCAAAAATGACGATTCCTTTTTTAAATTGGTTTCTGGGCCATAATCTGCAAATTTATAGAATTTTCTTTATTATTTTAATAAAAAAATATACTTTTTTATACTTTTTATCACGTTCGAAATTTTTAGTTGAAAATAGTGTTTTTTTTTTTTTTTGTTTTTATATATATATATATATATAATCATTCACAGACAGACCGTTTCGCAGTTCATCAGTGTGGCTAGACATCCGATTACTTCAGGCCGAGATCGAAACCCGACTTATTCGGCATTTTCCCCGTTTGTAAGAAATCGAATTTTTACATACTTACTCTGATTGATAGTGCTCAATTCAGGGAAGGGAAAAGCCTTGTAATATTAGTAGTAATAGTCAGTGTTTACAAATTCGCACTTCCAAGAGTGCACAACAGAATTTAAGTTTTTCGTGTGTGTGTGTATATATATATATATATATTTTAATTAATTCATCGAGTCTGATAGAAACCTCTACAGAATGCAGAAAGCACTGGACGGCCGTTTCGTCCTATATTTGGGACTCATCAGCAGTGAGCATCCACTACCGAGAATTGAAACCCTGACAGTTAGGTTGTTAAGCTGACATCATACCAACTGTCCCAAGTGGGCCTCGGTGACGAAGAGATTCCAAATCAGACTCAACAAAGCGGACTCTCCCGTCGGTTTCGACGTATGATGATCTGACAGCTTAGTTGATTAAGTTATGAAATTTTGTGCGATAATGTTAAGTGGCATTTAAGAACCGCTAGTGATTTACAAAGGAGGCCACATATGGAACAAGAGTGAGGATTGTGAGATGAGATCACTCTTAGATTGGCTGACCTCTTAGATCTTGCTCTTGCTTCTTGAAGATGATTCAGACAGGCAGATTGAAAACATCTGAGTTCACTAAAACACGTTGATCTCCAGTTTACACGCTCCAAGGCTAAGCGCTCAAGGATGTAATATATATATATATACATATATCTTTCAGTTTCTTTCCCACGTAAAATCGAAAGAGTGACAGTTGTCGTTTATCATCTGTTATATCAAACGCTGTAAATGCGTCTTCGATATGTTCACTTCATTCTCTCCATGCTTGCTCTTGGTTGGAGTCTCTCCAGTCTCGGGGCTCCATTGTTGGCAGAGAGAGAGAGAGAGCCATTTCTTTCGAAATAATTTGTTATTTTCGAAGTTTGTTACTCGCGTTGTTGTTGAATTCGAGTACTTTTTTTTCTTTGCTGTTAATCCGAAGTTTTACTCGTGTTGTTGTTAAATTCGAGTATTTTTCCCTTTGCTGTTGAGGGGGTAGTGTTTCGTTAATTCAAAGCTTGTTAAATTTTTACACCCTCGTCGCCAGGTTTGCTGTCTACTGAAGAGTTTCCCCCCCTCAACCGAGCGGGTTCTATTTATACTCGCGCGGACATCACAATATATATATATATATATATATATATATATATATATATATATATATATATATATATATATATATATCCAGGTAAGATGAGAACGAACAGAGTTACCGGCTCGTTAACTAATTATTCAAATTTAAATGCAAAATACAGCCTCTATTTGGGAAAAAATCTTTTTTTCCTTTTTCGTAAAAGAGGCTGTATTTTGCTTTTAAATCTGAATAAACTCGCCAGTAATTTACAATCGGCTGATGAGATGCATTGCTACGCATCGAAACACGATTGCATTTGTGTAACGATTTTCACATGTTTTTCGATGTACTATCCTAAAATAAAGTATACATACACACACATATATATATATATATATATATATATATATATATATATATGAAAATTTCTCAGAGTTAACCTGTAGAAAAAGACAATATTTATAAATATAAATGACAATAGGAAAACTGTAATAGTTGCTGATGCGTTTCATCCAATGTGGATTTTCTCAAGGCAAAAAACGGAATGAATTTATTTAAACAAAATAACTAATAATAACAAAAACAAAATGTCCTTAGCAACTGGAAGAATTTAAGGAAAATCCTAGAGAGTGCCGCCATTGAATATTACCCAAATATTAATTAAGGCTTTTTCATCTTTGTTAACAGAATTACTACTCTCCCAAACAAACGTACAGAACAGTATCAAGAAATCAAAAGAAAATGGTTGAATCTGTCAACACAGCAATAAAAACAATATCTCCACACGTGACAGTAATTGACGTAATTTTCAGTTAACAGTATGAAAATAGCGTTCTCTAAATTCTTCCAGTTGCTAAGGACATTTTGTTTTTATTATTATTAGTTACTTTATTTAATAAATTCATTTCGTTTTTTGCCTTGAAAAAGTCCCTATTGGACGAAACGCGTCGGCAACTATTACAGTTTTCCTACTGTCATATATATATATATATATATATATATATATATATATATATATATATATGTATGTGTGTGTGTGTGTGTGTGTGTGTGTGTGTGTGTGTGTGTGTGTGTGTGAAGCATCTCTCTTTTCAGTCGTTTTCTTTCTCTCGGCGTGCGTGTGCCTGACTGCGGATATGATTGTATTTTCCTTTCAATTTGAAAACCGCCCGATCCCCTCTTCTATTTCTCCCCTTCGTCCAGTGTCCGGTGTAAGTTTCAATCAATTACAACCGCTTATAAAGTTTTTATTGTCGTGCCGTCGAAGGAATCGGTGCCCCGAGGTCTATGCTGACGGCCAGAGGAAGATATCGAGTCCAAAGAACGACAGGCCAACAGGGCATCGCTTTGAGATAAACAGCTTTTGGCAAACTTTCGAATTTGCGGGTGGGTGAGTGCCGGCGGAGAGATAAACTCGGGATCGAAGTGCTGGCACAGGTATTGACGTGTGTATACGGGAATGTGCATACGTTGTCTTTGTCTACCTTCGTTTGACTCTCACAGCAGAGTAGGTATGTCTAGCTATCTAATCTGGTCTTCGCTACTTTGCAATTGTCCGCACAAATCAAAGTCTCTACTCCGCTAAAAGATTTATCTATCTATCTATCTATCTATCTATCTATCTATCTACAGTGTAACCCGGATATAAGAGACCCGGATATAAGAGAAACCCGGATATAAGAGAAACCCGGATATAAGAGAGATTTTCTCTGGTCCCAAATTAGGGCCTGTGTTAATGTATATAAAATTGCCAAACCCGGATATAAGAGAAACCCGGATATAAGAGAAACCCGGATATAAGAGACTTCTTCTCCGGTCCCGACAACTCTCTTATATCCGGGTTACACTGTATGTAAGTCTGTTCATATCTATCTATCTATCTATCTATCTATCTATCTATCTATCTATCTATCTATGTTAGATTCTTTTATTGTATTTTCCCTTTCTGTCTCTCCCAGTGCGATGATATCTATCTATATATCTATCTATCTATCCCAGTCTGTTCATATCTATCTATCTATCTATCTAAGTATGTTAGATTCTTTCATTGTTTTTTTTTCTCTTTCTGTCTCTCCCAGTGCGTTCATATCTATCTATCTATCTATCTATCTATCTATCTATCTATCTCAGCTTGTTCATTATCTATCTATCTATCTATCTATCTATCTATCTATCTATCTATGCACAGTTCAGTCTATGGTAAATATATTAGACAATTTGGAAAACTTCTATTTTAATATGTTCCGCTGAATCGGCAACATCATAAAAATAATTTTATCTTAATAGAAAAATTCTCAGCTCAGTTTTGAAGAGTATAACTGGAAGAGTATAAAATATCTAATTACTTAATAACTGTACGGGCTTAGAAGCTGGAATTTTGCAGATGAATAATTTGATATGTTTTAAATGCTGTGTAAATTTTTATCTTCCTCCATAAATTATAAGTTAATTAAATTTTAAGTTGCTATCTAATCTGTAGGAATTATTAATAATTTTTAATAAAAATACCTTTATATTTTGTCTGAAACTGGTTAATGAACAGAATATGTTTTCATAATGTGTCCGCTATAATTCATTCTGATTAAGTTGTTTGTCCAATAACAATTACGATGTTTGGTCATTTTACCTGATCTTGGGAAGTGGATTGAGTCGAAAACTTTTTATTATCCTACAAGGCATATGGCAAAATCGCAACTAAGCGTATCATGAATTTGCTGCTTCCATAGTGCATTAGCCTGTGTCAAGCCCTGGCATTGCCAGGGATAAACAATGGACCATTCCTGTTTGATTGCGTGGATAGACGAAAGAAAAGATATATTAAAGACTTTGTTTGATTTTAAAGAAAGAAGCGAAAGAAAGAAAAATATAGAAATAAAGAAAAAAGAAAGAAAGAAAAAGATAGAAAAAATAGATAGAAAGAAAGAAAAGTGAAAAAAGAAAGAAAAAGATAGAAAGAAAAATAGATACAAAGAAAAGATGTAGATAGAAAGAAAGAAAAAGACAGCAAGCAAGAAAGAAAAATATAGGAAGAAAGAAAAAGATGTAGATAGAAAGAAAGAAAAAGAGAAAAAAAGATAGAAAGAAAAAATAGATAGAAAAAGAGAAAAGAAAGAAACATTTCTATCATCAAATAAGATGTCTATTTTTTTTTGATAGAAAGAAAAACAGATAAAAAGAAAAGATGTAGAAAGAAAGAAAGAAACAAACAAACAAACATAGAGGAAACAATGACACGCTCAAGTCTTTATCGTCTGCTTCAGTGAAATGGAAAACATTGTAAAATTTTAATCTGATTCTTTGCTCATGAAATAAGCAATTATGAAACAATTTGTCGATGAAAGATTTTCCAATTCGATTCCTTTAATTATTTCAGCCTTGTACACAAAAATGCATTACAAACAAAAAGCGAAACAAAATAGAAACAAACAAAAAAAAAAGCAATAAAAAGACGCGTATGTAACGATTATGTGACGCCATTCTTTCACTTTATCTTTCTTTAAGAGAGAAAAAAAGAAGATGGAATATTTTTTTTGTTAAGCGTTACACCCCAAGCAAGGCGGGAAGCCACTAGGACGCAAGGGGTTACAGAAGATTTGGAGTGATAGAAGAAAGGATGAGAAGAAGGATAGTGGATAGATCAAGGCAACTGGAGATGTCGATTGACATTACATTTGAATAGTTGGAGATTATAGCTCTCAGGGAAACTGGAATAGGGAAGGGAGTTCCACAGGCGAGTGGTGCGAGACATGAAGCTATTGGAATAGAAGGGACGGCCATATTTAATAGTTTCGACAGTGAAAGGGTGAGAGCAGGATGCCAACCTCGTAGCGAATTACTATGAAAGTATTTGTAAAGTGAGAGGCGACGGCGCGTCTGTGAGAGAGCGACTGCAGACAAGATGCCAGAACAGGGCCAATTATATTGTATATCCGCCTCTGGATCTTATCAAGAACCCCAAGGCAAACCGAAGGGGTTCCAGACCATATATGGCAGCAATCCTCCATGCAAGGGCGAATTGTTGATTTGTAGAACTGAAGGATCGATTACGTGGAGAAAAATTTCCTTGCGTGGCACAGAGAGCCAACTTTCCTTGCGGTGGAGGAAGCAATTGACTCAATGTATTTGTTTCATCTCAGGTCAGCAGTCAACGTGAGACCGAGCAGCCGCAGAGAGGTGCTCACGAGAAGTTGAGCATCAGACGTTCTAATGGGGGGAAGGGAAGGATCTCTGTGGTGATTAATAGAGAGTAGTTTTGTTTTTGAGGCGTTAAAGTTGACCAGCCAATTCCTACCTCAGTTCACAACCGATTGGAGGTCCTTTTCGAGACGCACGGCCAGGTTAGTTTTGTCAGCGACACTAGATTTGTTTTTGAGGCAGGAGTAAATTGTGGTGTCATCCGCGTAGATGCCAGCTTGGGAATCTATGGCGTCAGGAAGGTCGTTGATGAAGATAAGGAATAGAGTAGAGCCCAGGATGGAGCCTTAAGGAACACCTGCGTTCGTGGGATAGGAACTGGAGGAGAATCCGTTGAGAACGACCTTCAATTCACGGTTTGACAGGAATGATTGTATTAGGTCAAACAATCGACCTGTAATACCATAACCCTGGAGCTTGCGAAGAAGGCCGGCATGCCAAACCCTATCAAACGCTTTGGAGATGTCTAGGGCCACGGCACGAGCCTCACCTTTATTTTGAAGGGCTTGGTAGACGGTTTCAGTGATGGTCGTAAGCACATCAGCTGTAGATCGGGCAAACCGGAAGCTATATTGCTTGTCTGAGAGCAGATCATGGGATGTAAGGTGGTTAACTACTTCAGCATTGATTAGGGTTTCGAAGACTTTGCCGAAGAGGGGTAGGAGATTGATAGGACGGTCAGGGGGGTCGCCAGAGTTCTTGAAGACATGAACAATCTAAGAGGACTTCCAACAGTCAGGAAAACAAGAGGCAGTAATTATATAGTTTAGAGAGGGTGGGCGCTAGTTCAGGCGCGCATTTCTTCAAGACAATGGCTGGTATCCCATCCCCACCGCTAGTCATGTTGGGGTCTAAATTGGAGATAATGCCCAATACCAAAGACGGGGTTATGTGTAACCCACTCAATAGGGCCTCATTTCTAAGAGGGAAGTCAGGTATGGGTACACCGGAAGAAACGAGTGTTGAGTTGAATGAAAATTTCCGAGGAAAGCATTCAGCCTTGTCGGCAGAGGAGGTCAGGTCTTCAAACTGTTTGAATAAAGAAGGTATAGAGGGTTTGCAATTGTTCAATACGCTTTTGCAGAGACGCCAATAATCTTTGGAGGCAAATTTGCGAGATGCAATACGCTCCTTCATCCGAGCAGCAAATAGTGACTTAGCTTTGTTGAGGACACGCTTACACTCGTTACGGGCAGAGGCAAAGAGACGTCTATTGCAGTCCAACATGTCGCTACGAAATAGGTGAAAGATGTGGTTCCTATGGGCAATGGCGGCTGAGCAAGCAGCTGAAAACCAAGGGGAGGAGCGCGACTTGACCCTATATTTCCTTGAGGGGATGAAAGCGTCGATTTCAGCTTTAACCCAGGATGAGACCTTAGAAGAACATTCATGGACGGGGAGCGTAAAGACAGCATCCCAGGGGACATCGCGGAGGAAATCACAGAACGCGTCCCAGTCAGCTCGTTGATAGTAGAACGAAGTTCTAGTGGTAGGGGGTTCTTTGCAGGGGGTGGAGTTGAAGGAGATGTTAACAGATACTACAGCATGATCGGAGTTACCAAGAGGGCAGAGCTATCGAGTATCCCACAGTCTTGAGAGGATGGAGAGCGGTATAGGAAGACGAGATAGCTTACAGCATTGAGAAGAGATAGTCGGAGACACATGTACGACTGGTCTGGTGAATCGAGAGACAACTCTCTGGCCAGAGGGAGATGGTCCTTGACATAGATACCAAGGCCGTGCATGTGGGTTAGAGAGTCTTTTCTGAGGAGAGGATGGTAGCCTGGGATCGAGAGATCAGAGGAGGAGATAGACGAGACAAGGTTGTTCTCACAGAGAGCCAGTGTATCCGGGCAGTTTGCAGTGAGGAAAGATTCCATACTGCAGAAGTTTGTTCTAATGGCACGGATGTTGGAGAACGAAATATTGAGGGGTTTAGGTGATTTTTGAGGGGCTGGTTTAGGATTACTTTTTCGGTCTTTGTAAGTCATCATGTGGATTTATGGTTGGAAGATGAGAAGGCCCGAAGTAAAAGAAGCAGACGGTTATCGACCATGACGTGGGCAGAGAGGAGTTGGTACAGCCTGCATCATAATGTGGCCTCAGGGTTGCCCACCGGAGATGACTGCAGGGACACCTTTCCATGCGCGACATGGCACTACAAACACCCCGGTATTATACAACTGTCGATCAGAGCGGCCGCTCAAGACGCTACGCAAGAGTTAGGGCTCCTAACTACCAGCTGGAAACAGCAGCCAGTGAACTGTCAACCGTGTACCCTAAAAAAGCCACAGACTGCACACATCGCGGGAGAAACAGAGCTGCACTAGTACATAAGCCAGAGAGAGAGAGAGAGAGAGAGAGAGAGAGAGAGAGAGAGTACCGGGAACCCCTTCCTAAACAAGAAACAAGGTGTGAGCCTCTACTGATGTCCAAGGGAATGGGGAGGAATGTTGACCGGGCGGTAGGAAAGCCTACCTACTCCTCAACACCAGTGTGAGAATGCTCGTGGGTACTGGGCAGTTTTGGGATTGTAGCCCCACATTAAAAAGTCTATGTCTCATTTTGTCAACGTGTAGAAGTTCTGGGTATGACTATAAACTACATCCAACAGCAAGTCCTCTGATCGGGAGATTGCAGGTTTTGAGGAGCGTGGTATATACCCCTTAATTGCTGATGTTCCCAGGTTCACTCTGACCCAGGGTTCTCATCTCAGAAATATAGACAGATACTGAAAGGTCGAAAAAAAATGAAATGATAACAGCAAATATTGCAATATGAGCACTGGTAAAATATAATAATGTAATAAATATAGTGACAAAGATAAGGACAATAGTCCGAATAATGTAAATAGTGTACATAATACCTCATCTCAGAAACATAGACAGATGCTGAAAGGCCGAAACGTTGTAATAAATATGGCGACAAAGATGAGGACAATAGTCCGAATAATGTAAATAGTGTACATAATACCTCATCTCAGAAATATAGACAGATACTGAAAGGCCG